TGCGTGTCTCTTTCGCCGTGATCACGTGACAATGCAGCCTTTAGAGCGGTGCTCCGGAACGCTAAATTAGACGAAACTTTTCGCCAGGATGGCGCCGTGCATATTTATTTTTTCTATTGCTGCCGTTATAAAGTCACGAAAAATACCATGCAGCATTTTCATTAAGTAGTTGTATATATACTCTTTGGTTTTTCGGTAAAGTCACGTAGAAGGAAAATAATAAAATAATACAAATAAAACATAATAAAATTCTCAAGACGTTTCGGCCACAACATAAGCAGCCGTCCTCAGGTAAAGACAGAGCTGTCTGAAAGACAGTGGGCCCAGCTTAAAATACGCTGCCAAGCTTAGCAGTGTTCATTGGAGCGCTGTCTTTCAGACAGCTCTGTCTTCACCTGAGGACGGGTGCTTGTGTTGCGGCCGAAACGTCGTGAGAATTTTATTGTTTTATTTTATTATTTCCCTTCTACGTGACTTTACCGAAATAACCAAGATGGTGGAGACATAGTGCGACGAGGGGCGGAGCCAGGAAGAGGTGAAAAGAGCAGGTGGTGCGTGAGGTGAGTGGGTGAGTGGGTGCGTGGATGAGTGGGTGGGTGAGCGGGGGGGGGGGGGTGAGCGGGGGGGGGTGGGTGCGTGAGTGGATGGGTGAGCGAAGTGGGTGAGTGGGTGAGCGAGTGGGTGGACGAGTGGGTGGGTGGACGAGTGGGTGGGTGAGCGAGTGGGTGGGTGAGTGGGTGGATGAGTGGGTGGTTGAGTGGGTGGGCGATTGGTGCGTGGGTGGGTGAGTGGATAAGTGGGTGAGTGGGTAGGTGAATGGGTGGGTGAGTGGGTGGATGAGTGAGCGAGGTGGGTGGGCGAGTGCATGGATGCGTGGGTGAGCGTCAAGTGTGACGGTTCGGCCAGGTGAGGGTGAGAGGTGACGACGTCAGGAAGAGGTTAAAAGAGGGAGCGGGTGGTAGGGTTGGGGGGCGTCGAGGGTGACAAGCGAGGATGAAGGTGTGAACCCGTGCCGTAACATAAAGACATTACCTTGGTGACAAAAGGCCAGAGTTTTCTTTCACATGTATGTTGAACTTCTTTCGCACCGTACGTAGCCGTCCGTGCTAAGCGGAGGTGAGCGGGAAGGGCGGCTTCGCTCTCGGGATCAATGTGTAGAGGAGTAAAATGGGGACGTGTCGTCAGGTGTGCCGTTCAGTGCGATGACGTCACGTCTCCTAGGGTACTTAAGGGATACCTCGTGACATAAGCGGGGTCACTGTGGGAACTGGTAGAGTACGAAGGGTGAAGAGGGAACCAGTGGTAGAGAGAGGGATCGAATAGTGAGTCTGGGGAGAAGCCGGTGGTAGCCGTAGAGGTGCTTCTCTCTCCGGTCGGTGGAGTCGGCAGAATCCACGATCCGACACGAGAGAGAGAGAGAGAGACCGGAGCTAGCCGGCAGGGACCCGGACTCAAAGTAGGACCCCTAGCCCCTGGGAGTTGTGTACTCTGCTGTGTAATATTGTAACAGCTTTAATAAACCCTGGTGAAAGCCCTTAACTTACCTCCGTCTTCGAGTACGTCCGTCGGAACTTCTCTACAAATGGAACAACGCAAACCACCTCCACCACGACACGGTGGCGATCCTCGGGAGAGGCTCGGTGTGTGTACACGGCATTCGATAGACCACGTTTCGGTTTAACGTAACATTGGATTTATTTCTCAATATTTTACACGGAAAGCTGATAAAGTAAAACAATGAATGGATTTCTTGTTTTCTACGTGACTTTACCGAAAGAACCAAATAACACTGAAATTGATAATTGTTTTTTTACCCTTCTATCTGGCAACAAAACTGACACCTTTTTTTACAAGGAGTCATGTTTGCATAGACCACAATACCTGCAGTCATAATGCAAACAAAAAACACAACTCTGATAATGATATGCACTGTCCTTGAAGTTGAAAGCTGTCTCGGGTGTGGACCAATCAACTTCAAGGACAGTGCATACATTATCAGACTTATGTTTTTGTTTGCATTGACTGCCGGTATTGTGGTCTATGCAAACATGACTCCTTGTAAAAAAGGTGTCAGTTTTGTTGCCAGAAGGGTAAAAAAACAATTATCATTTTTTACTGGCAAATGAGGTTCCAATGGTGTAAACACTGAAATTAATACGTAAATATTTGTAAAATCATAGATCTACTGTATTGTCTAAATTTTTACGTTTCAAGGCGAGCAAAACATTTTTGTCGTGTCTTTGTGTTTTTCCCTTGTGATGGGACTTTGCAGGATGAACGTTGAGATTTATAAGGCGCATGGGTGACCAATAAGTTCTGAATTGATCTGTAGTAAGGTAGGGCACTGATATGGGTTAACAGGTATGCAGTAGTATATAGTGTAGTGTATAGGGGTGTAGTGTATAGTAGTGTAACACAATCCTGCGGAGGGAGCTGTTAGGAACGTTGGGTTGCTCGGTCAATGGCCAGGGTCAATGGCGGCGTGGTGTATTCCACAAATATGCCCGACTGTGAGGGCGGGCACAAGCCGGCGTGAGTAGGTTAAACGTTGAGTTTTATAAGGGCACCACGGGGTGACCAGCCCCTCCCTACCCAGCCCCACCCCACCCCTCCCACCCCCTACCCAGCCTCACCCTCCCCACCCAGCCCCACCCCACCCAGCCCCTCCCTCCCCACCCAGCCCCTCCCTCCCCACCTAGCCCCTCCCCACCCAGCCCCTCCCCACCCAGCCTGTCCCTCCCCACCCAGCCCCTCCCCACCCTCCCCTCCCCACCAGCCCTCCCACCCCACCCAGCCCCTCCCCACCCTCCCCTCCCCACCCCACCCAGCCCCTCCCCACCCAGCCCCTCCCCACCCCACCCAGCCCCTCCCCACCCCACCCAGCCCCTCCCCACCCCACCCAGCCCCTCCCTGCACGGTGGACGCAATAATCCCCTGTGGGCTGGTGTAATCAGGAGGTTCCTACCAGTATGATGTCGTGTATAGTGGTGGTGTATAGTGGTGTAGTGTATAGTGTAGTGTACAGCGTGGTGTATAAGTGTATAGTGCAGTGTATAGTGTAGTGTAGTATATAGTGTAGTGTACAGCGTGGTGTATAGTGTGGTGTATAGTGGTGGTGTATAAGTGTATAGTGCAGTGTATAGTGGTGTAGTGTAGTGTATAGTGTAGTGTACAGCGTGGTGTAGTATATAGTGTAGTGTACAGCGTGGTGTATTGGGTGAACGTTGAGATGTATAAGGGGCAACGGGATGACCAATAAGTTCTGAATTGGTCTACAGTAAGGTAGGGCACTGATAAGGGGTTCACAGCTTTGCATGTCTTCACTGTGCTTTAAGTCAGTTTCTTTTTTAATACTGTATAGTATAAAATTATATCACGTTCAAAAGAAATTGCCTTCGTTGACAATACGAAGTGTAAGTTGTAAAGTGTTCATCGTGTGAAATGGTAAGTCACGAAGGCTGGGAACGCAACCTCATGGCACCAATGTTGTAAGTTATTCACTATACGACGTTTCAATATACGAACAAGCTCCAGGAACGCATACTCCTTCGTATACCGCGGTATCACTGTGTGCGCGGCTAGCCTATTTCTACCCAAAATTCAAGACAGTACACGGTTGGGTTCACTCGTTCGGACCATGTGGTCAAACGTGGAACTACTGTACTGTGCACTGTATGTACTGTACCGTGTGTACTGTACCGTGTGTATTGTATGCGTAAAGGCAGTGGTGGTGTAGCGGTTAATGCTGCGCTACGAACCCGACGACCCGAGTTTTGATTCCCGCTCACGGCCACCAACACCAGTAATAGCAATTATCTGAACCGGTCCCGGGCCTTCCCTAGGTCGACTCAGCCTCAAATGAGTAACTGGTGTAGCGGTGGTGGTGTAGCAAACATCGCCACTGGGAGAGACAAAGGCGGTCGGGCATGGTGCCGGCCACCAACCCCACCTCGTATGCCACGGTGCCGGTAGCCATCATCGGTGCTGCCACTCGTCACATATACGAGATCCGACGGGCGGTTTTGTCTAACGCCGTTAGCAACGTGAATGCAAGTACTGTGTCATCTTAAACATGCTGTCAGCGAGCGCCTAGTAAGGCTGGCTGGGCGCACGAGGGAATAGATGTACACACATATACAAAGACACACACTTATACATGTATACACACACACATACATATAAAGATCCCCCATTTAGCCTTAACAGACTGTAGGGGCAAGTGCTGTGAGTAGCGAGTAGCAGTGCCTATGAAGGCTACCGGCACTGTGGCACACACAGAGGGGGTGGGTGGCCAGCACCACGCCCGTGTCGCCTTTGTCTCTCCCCCAGAGGTTGCAAACGGGTTTTTGATTCCTTACCCGTAACACCACGGCTCGCACAAGGGTCGCAAACGGGTACCCGTACCCGGCCGTACCCTGCCGGTATCGTGTAGAGTACGGGTATCGGGTACCTGAATTGCGACCTCTGGATGAAGCCATGTTGCAGGTGCGGGTGGGTTGATGTCTAGGAACTTGAATTGTGAGAAGAGACAAGACGTTGGGAAATGAGTGACAAACGGTGACTCACTAGTGACTCACGGCCTAACCCGTACCCGTACCCCGGTCAGGTACGGGTAGCCGGGCATCGGGTATGGTACGGCTAGGGGTCGGCACGGTTTGAACCGACATCAAACTGGTTTTCAAATTGAGCAAACCAAACCAAACCAGCGACGACTGAACCAAACAAACCAAAACCAAACCAAACTAAGCTAAACCAAACCTCTTGAGTTGGCTTGAACCGAAAAGATGCGCGGCAAACAATATTCGCATTCAATACAAATATCAAGTGTATTATCGCTAATTTCTACGCAGGCTTTCTTCATATTGAGATTCACTAGCAAGTACTGATCGACGATGTCGTCCACAGCCATCTCCTCAAGCTTGGCAACGCCCAATGTCCTTGAACGCAGTGTGGTAGTTCATGGCAGTGAAACCCCAACACTAGGCAACATCCGCGCCCACGAGCGGCACACACATCTCGGCCTTGAACGTGCACTTGTGCAGGTTTGGGTCGGTCGAGAAAGGAGCGCTTGGCGGCCGAGTTTGCTCTCATCGGAGGCACGGACGACGCCGGGATAGGCAAAATAGTCGAGGCCACGCGTCGTAGGCGTGGGTACTTGCCTCCGGACAGCTTCCACCACTCGACGACGTCCATGCTCAGGCCCTGAGTCGGCTCAAGCAGGAAGCGGTCGACCTCGGAGGCGGCGCCGTCGTGAGCGTTGGGCGCGTAGACCATGTCAAAGAGGATGTTAATGCCGCCACGCGGCGCCGCCTTCGGCGCCGCGTCCGTCGTCAACGCTGGGTAGCACTGGTTGAGAATGTCCGTCATCATGTCCTTGATATTGCTGTACTCGGCCTTTACAACCAACCAAACTAGTTTGAGCCGGTTCCACCCTGTCCGAGCCAAACCGAGTCGGGTTTCGTAGCCCCAAACCAAACCGAACCAGTTCAAACAGAGCCAAACCAAACCGATTTGGTTCGGTTCAAACCGCGGTTTGGTGGTTTGAGCCAAACCGTGCTGACCCCTAGGTACAAGTATTGGGTACCCGGTTGCGACCTTTGTCTCTCCCCCAGTGGCAATGTTTAACTACACACCGCATCACCAGATACTCGTTTGAGGCCGAGTCGACCTAGGGGAGGCCTGTTACCGGCTCAGATAATCGTCGCCGATGTTGGTGGCCGCGAGCGGGAATCGAACTCGAGTGGCCGGGTTCATAGCGCAGCGTAGCGCTAACCGCTCCCCACACACGTGTACGCGCGCACGAACGCACACACGCACGCACGAGTGTGTGGAAGCCGAGCGATCTTTACTTCACACATTGCACATTTATCACACAAACACTGCACCTCAGCCAACTCCATTGGTCCCCGTGTCTCCACGTGTTTCTCTGTGACCCCATGTCTCAACTTGACCCCAATGTGTCTCCACGTGACCCAGTGTGTATCCATGTGACCCAGTGCACGTGACCCAGTGTGTCACCACGTGACCCCGTATGGTGTCTCCGTGTGACCTAGTGTGTCTCCGTGTGTCTCATGTTCCAATGTTTTTCAGTGTCCCCCTGTGTATACATTGTTCCCCGTGTGTATCCATGTGTCTGTGTGTCTCCAAGTGAGTCTCTGTATCCCCATGTCTTCCCAAGTCTCCGTTCATCCCCGTGTATCTCTGCACTCGTATTCCTCTGAGCGGTCTCCCTGTTTCGCCATGTTACCATGAGCCTCTCTGTCCCCGTGTCTTACTGCGTCTCTCCGTATGTTTCCGTGTCCACCTTTAGGTCCCCCGTGTGTGTTCCATCTCCCGTATCCCTGTCCACGTCTTTGCGTCCCTGTGTTCCTGTGCGTATCTACGTCCCATGGAGTGTGTGTGTCTGCCCGTGTCTCTCTGTGTGTCTAGGTGCGGACTTGGAAGCGCCCAGCCTTGGTGAGATATTTCACCCCTTTGAATGGCTTGTACTTCTCCCCATAGAGGTCCAGACGGTTCACTTTCAACCCTGCGGCGGCAACAACAACAACAGCAGCAGCAGCTGCCAGTCACCACTATGCGGCGGTGACGTCACCACCACGGCGCTTGTGCCAGGCTAGGTGCACTTTGAGGCGGTCACTTGGAGTGTGCGAGGCTTTCCGCTGACAGGTTACAGGACAGACCCAGCTGGTGCCATAGGTTGCCTTACTGAGAGAGGACCGGGAGATGCACCACCACCACTTCCTGTGCCCCCTACTGTGCCACCTCGCTGTGTTTTAGCCACCCGGCTATGTGCACGTTGAGGTCACATGCAGTGTCAAACGCCCGCTGGCAGGAGGTCACGGGGCAGACCCAGATGCCAAGGGTCGACTGAGACGAGTGGCTGATGCACCACCTGTGCCCCTTACTGTGCCAACTCGCTGTGTTTTAGCCACCCAGAACTCCGCTCGTTGTTGTGAGTGTCGCTCCTCCGCCTCCGTTGTTGTTGGAGGGCGACTGCCTCCAACTGCCCAGTAGCAGCGTCCTTCACGAGCCTCCTACTCCACTGAGGCCGATCTTGACAGCGCTGGTACCGGTCATCGGCAAGTCCACTCAGCTCCACATCCTCCCGTACCGCATCACTCCATCTCTCCCCTAGTTCTTGCCATGCCCGTTTAACCCCCTCTATCCGGCCAAACAGAAGCTGAATGCTCTTTGGTTCTTTCGGTAAAGTCACGTATAACGATAAAATAATAAATTAAATACTAGCATACGACGTTTCGATTGCAACACAAGCAATCATCATCAGTATAAGTGAAATAGAAACCTGGTTGATTACGTTCTTCCTGAGAATGCTAAATTTGAGAGAGAGATAAAACACAGAACCAGAGACATATAGGTTCTGTGTTTTACTCTCTCTCAAATTTAGCATTCTCAGGAAGAACGTAATCAACCAGGTAGGGTGTTGACTGTTACGTTATCCGACTCTCTGTTGTATCACATTACATTTTTAAGTATTACTAGATTTGTGTTTCTATTTCATTTATACCTGATGATGATTGCTTGTGTTGCAATCGAAACGTCGTATGCTAGTATTTAATTTATTATTTTATCGTTATACGTCACTTTACCGAATGAACCAAAGAGTAATTCCTGCAGTCACGAAAGCTCCAAATTAAGTTTAGAAGCTGATTGGGCAAGCAGTGGCTGGGCATGCGGGCTACGCGACACAGCCAACGCAGCCTTGCCTGCCGGAGGAGCTCACCGACGGGACTGTGGTCATCAGGCCTCTCTCCACGGGTCTCCGTGGGTCCTCAGATTCTCCCCATCCTGCTCCCCGCGTACCTGAAATGGCGAACTGCTGGATCTTGAAGTGGACGTTGATGACGGGATTCCTCCTCGGCTTCGGTGCTCCGGACTGCAGTGTCAGGGAGCCCTTGATGGTCGGCAGCTTCTGGGGATTAATCTTCCCAATGTCCCACGTCAGGACCTGGAGCACGACCACGGGGGAGGGTGGACCCATGGACACCGCAAGGGGGTGGGTAGAGGGAGGACAGGGGGGAGGTAGGGGGAATAAGGAGGGACACGGGGAGGAGGGAGAGAGGAGGAGGGAGACACGGGGAGGTGGGAGACACGGGGAGGGAGGAGGAGAGAGACACGGAGAGGAGGGGAGGGAGTGAAGAGAGGGAGGAGGGAGAGGGGAGGAGGGACACGGGGAGGGGGATAGAGGAGGAGGGAGATAGGAGGATGACAGAGACATGTTGAGGAGGGGAGGGAGCGTCGGAGGCCGTCGGACTGCGAGAAGGGCTGCGTGCAGAACGAGAGAGAGCGAGAGAGAGCGAGAGAGAGTGAGCGAGTGAGCGAGAGAGTGAGAGAGCGGGCGAGAGAGCGAGCGAGAGAGTGAGCGAGAGAGAGAGTGAGCGAGAGAGTGAGAGAGCGAGCGAGAGAGTGCGAGAGAGTGAGCGAGAGGTGGGGGTTTACATAAAGCAAAGTTTAAAAATGTAAAAAAAAAATTACGAAATGATGAACGAAGCAAAGTGCCGACTACACCGAGCATCTTCTTGTTTTCACTGATCGTAAAAAAGAGAAGAGAGGGAGGAGGGAAGGCATGGGAGGTTAGGAGGAGGGACAGACACTTTAACACCACAGACCACGTGAATGAGCTGTCTCCATGTCCTCCTCGTTCCACCTCTGCATCACCCCACGTCCGATGGCAACGCATGGACCGTGTCTCCCTCCCTGTGTCTATCCGTTTGTCTCTCTGTATCCCTGTCCCCTAAACTGCATGCTACTCTAGAATCTGTTGCATCTTCGGACACTAGTTGTATCCATGACGTCTCATTGGATGGCTGTGTCAACTGCAGCAGCAGCTACTTTTCATGGCTATGCAATGCGTGAATGTGAAGGATATGTCGGTTGTGTTGACATGTTTGTCTGAAGATCTTGTTCAGAATTAAATTCTGCTTTTCTCGGTTCATTTGTGGGATGTGTAATGCATTGTCGCTTGCAATTTATCATGTTGAGATGTGTCGATTAAACAGACAACCGCAAGGGCAGTTTCACGTAAATGTAGTACAGGCATGATTAAAACACGCTGAAAACATCTCTCTCCCTCTACCCCCGTACCTCCCCTCTGTCCCTCTCTCTCATGGGTGGAAAAAACCCGATTTTTCCAGCGACAGGCATCGGTTTTTTTCTTTAATACAATTAAACCAGATTTCGGGGGGATTAAAACCTGGTTTCATGAATACGAAACTGATAGGCAGGCTTAGGCTGCTTCCTCGTCGGTGCTGCTATCATCGTACTCGGGGGGGAATCGGGCACGGGGTAGTCGTAGAATGCGGCGGGCAGGTTGGTCTTGATGAACACGAGTTTCTCCTCCACAATCGTGGGCGCCAGTTAGTTCCTTAAGCTTGGAATGGACGAAGCCCATCGTTGAGAAGTTGGCGAAGTGTGGTTCTGCAATTAGAACCAATTAAACCGGATTTCTCCCAATCTCAGATGATCGGGTTTAATATGAAAATACAATTAACCCGATGGTAAAAAACCCAAGCCTGGGGTGTTTTATTCAGACGCTGTCTTCCCGACAGACCTGTTCTTCACCTGAGGACGGCTGCTTGCGTTGTGGCCGAAACGTCGTGAAAATTGTATTTTATTATGTTTTATTTTTATTACTTTATTATTTCCCTGCTACGTGACTTTACCTGAAAAAACCAAGAAGATGTGTCACCCTTGACTCTCTCTCCTCCCTCTCCCCATACCCCCCCCCACGTCTCCTCTCCCTCCCTCTCTCCTTGTACCTCCTCTCTCCCCATACCCCCCCCCC